TGTGTGTAACGCTAGTTTTAGCTCTTTTCCCTCAATTGCGATACTCGATTTAGTTGTATAGAAGTGTTTCGTAAACGTTCCTGATTATTTCTTTACTTTCTGGTCGCATTGATAGGCAATATTTCTGTAACTGGATGCTGAGAAAATGTTTTCTCTTATTTCAGGCAGGACGCGTTTCAGTCAAGAAGAACAGTTAAGGCCTGAGTGAACTGTTAATGATCTCACTTTGGATTCGCTCATACACCACGTCTGTCTTAAACTTACCAGTCGATACGTTAAGATATCGCTTACTTCCGAGATATATATGTTTTTTTTTAATTGTAATGTGCAGTAAAAAGTAAACACTTCAGAGGAATTGAATTTGAAAATACTTTCCTACTGTATTAAAGGCCATATGAGGTTATAAGAACAAACCAGAAATGACGGATGGATAGATTCTGTAGATACGCCAGTCCTGATTCCACGTTTTTGACGTAACTCTTTATCAGTACTTAAAAACGTATCAAAAATCTCGTTATAAATGTGTTAAATACTCAATTGAAATTTAATCAGTGCTTTTTCCTGCAACAGGTAATAGTTATGATGTAAGCTTAGGAACACATCGTCTGTTTACATGGGGAAGGCTGTTTGTCCGGTTGAAAATAATANATATATGTTTTTTTTAATTGTAATGTGCAGTAAAAAGTAAACACTTCAGAGGAATTGAATTTGAAAATAATACTTTCCTACCGTATTAAAGGCCATATGAGGTTATAAGAACAAACCAGAAATGACGGATGGATAGAAATGGGAGAGATTTAAGATTCTGTAGATACGCCAGTCCTGATTCCACGTTTTTGACGTAACTCTTTATTAGTACTTAAAGACGTATCAAAAATCTCGTTATAAATGTGTTAAATATTCAATTGAAATTTAATCAGTGCTTTTTCCTGCAACAGGTAATAGTTATGATGTAAGCTTAGGAAGACATCGTCTGTTTACATGGGGAAGGCTGTTTGTCCAGTTGAAAATAATAGGGGTCCATTTTAGCCTGGATAAAATTATTGTCGAATATACTTTTGCTGTCCCAGTTCAATTGTGAAAGAAAATAGGAAATACAGTTTTCGAAGTCAGTCAAATTGTTTATTTCGATAAAAATTATGATAATTTTATCAAATGTAATTCTGTATTGTTTAATTTACATCTTTCTGTAGTTGTTGACGCACAGCTCGGTTAGCTATGCAGTAATTTGTCGAATAGAAGTTTATAAATCTATTTAGTGTCAGTTGAAGAGTGCCGTTTAAAACTGCTGAAA